GCTTTTGCAATACAGCAACTGACCTGCAAATTCACTAATTGCAAATCATACACAGTAAATTCCTCAGAGTTATTACAGATGCTCATTATTTTGTCAGAAATGCTCTCCTCCATAAGGACCTCAAAATTGAAGAACTGAAAATTTATCTACGAAGAACAAATGATTGTTTCTTCAACAAAGTTATTACTAGTAATTACGTAAACTACTCACAAATGAAATCCTGCATGAAGACAATCATACTAGACCTCTGATGGCTCACTTTTTTATTGACAATGATCACAATTTCTCTACTTAAATATTGCTTACACAGGAGGAATTTTGTATATAGTGTACATAGTTTTACATTGCTTCTTTTCATAACTTGTGTTTTCTTTCATTCAGTATGTGCATCACTGTTTTCAAAATTTGCATTATAAATTGTAAGTTCACCTGTGCTGCAACAATTTGCATCATCTCGTCTACCTCAGCTGTCCAATCAGATCCTAAATTATTTCTCAGACCGCTTCTCTGATTCCAGGCTTCATGGCCCCCTTTTCCTTCTCCTTGCCTTCGTTTCTCCTTAGTGAGATTACCATGCCAGGAAACTCTTATCATCATGTGCCTTAGGGCTTAATTCTCAATGAGATGGCAAAATTACACATTTGTGTAATAGTTCTCATGATATGTTCGTAAGTTGAAGTTGAAGCAGCTAAGGGGTCACCAGTACAGCTCTATTTGCTAGTGTAGTTGCCAGAAGTTGTTTTTAGACCTTGCCAGTCTCATGGTACCATCTATAATTGGTATGAGCAAATTGTCCCTTGATCTATTCAGTTCGATATTTTAAACCGATGTTTGAAATCAGAGGGCGCCTGTAAGAGATGCTGTTAATTTTGACTGATGCTGCTTTGCTGAGGAAAGAAAACTCATGATCCTCAGTGCTGTAGCTTGATGGCTTAGATGATCATATCAAAAACAGCTGCCATTGATGAAAGCGATTTTAGTGGTATTTTTTTTGCTCTGTGCTCACTGTGCTATGCAGAATTTTATACTTAGATGTGCAAATTTACTTTCCCAACCGAAAAAAATGCTCGTGCTTCTATAAGTGGAAAATGCAGTTTTTTAATAATAGAACGGGAAACATTTTAAGTTATTTCCTTGATTTTGTTATGGAACTCATTTCATTACAGATTAATGTGTATATAAACTAAGAAAAAGCTCAAATTCAAGTTTTGAAAACAAACTGAGTGACTAACAAACACCCAATTAGGAAACCTCACCCTGGGCTTCAAGTAATTGGTTTACTGCAGAAGATGTAATTCAAAATGTCTAGTAGGTCTGAAAACTGCATGTAAACAAAGGAGAGGAATCTTGCGTCCCATGTCCATTGTGGAATTCTGCCAGCAGGGCTTTATAGGACCATTTTGGGATGGAAGAGGTTAGTAGCTGGTGCCTCACTGTGACTGCCATTTCTTATGTCATGAGACAGTGTGTACCTCATCTGGGCTCCAGAAAACTGATATTAGATGACTAGAAATGAGTAGGCTGGGCTGAGATGTTGCATTTATAACTGTTTCATTCAGTAGAATCATCCATATATATGGAGAAATCCAGTGTATGCAGCATGTCAACAATGGACTCAACATGTATGTTTGTGGCTAAGTGATGATATGGAGAATTTACAGTTGGCATAAATTAACATCCTTATGTGTCTCTCATCTTCTCTAACTAATGGATGTTATATTAAAATCCTTTCAGATGTGTTATATCTATTCCTGTCATACATGTACTCTGATCAATTTGGATCTTTCCAGCCACACATATCCATAGATACCAAACTACTGTTTGAGGAACTTTTGTTCAAGTTTTAGTCGTGAAATAGCCCCATAATTACCAGATCTGTGTTATCAATCAAATCTGAAATATTCAAAGTTTACTTCAACAATGATATACATTACATTTGAATATTAGAGGATTGTAGAGTGACATAGTGCATATAACTTTGGGAGTCATGGTGATCACTATGTAGAGACTACACCAGAGAGCTTGGAAAGTCCATGCCTCAATGACTTCTGCAGTTCTGTGATCCAGAGGTAAACCTACCAGGTATATCAATATATTTTAGGGGGGTGTCTTCCAGTAGGGGATATTAGTAGCTTAATTAGTAATAGTGTTAATAAAATACAATGAAGCACTTTTACATTTATCATTTATACTTTATTTCATTACTGTTCTAATTCCATCCTTGTACTAATTTGCAATTTGTTTCATTTGTTTGACATAGTGATTTCAGTTAGGGCATTTTCCTCAATTCATTATCTGTGTTTTTTTGCCATCTCCTGCCATTTTCTGGATGTCATTTATTTCTTTTAGTAGCATCTCAAAATTACACATAAGGGAGGGAGGAGAAGGCAGTGTTTCAATATGTTATGGAATTTGAAATCCATTTTATAAATGGAGGACTTCATTTCATAAATGGAAGGAGTGGTTCTGTAATGGAATAGAATATGGTGTATTCTGCTGGGAAAAGAGGTTAAATTGTGAGAGATGCCTTTGTTATTGTATCATTTAAGTAAATGTAGTTTAACTCATTTATTTTACTTTCACATTCTTCTTTAAGCCTAACTTCAGAAAATAAAAAAAACACTCTCATTTAAGGAAAAAAAAACTGAAATTTTAAAATAATTTGACAGGAATGCAGATACGGTAAAAATAAGAGGTGCTTTCTGATTATCTGCCCAGCCCTAAAAGTAAGTCACCTTCCATTGCAGTACGCTGCCGAAATAGGTAATCCATAGTATGGGCAAAATGTATTTACAGGGCAACACAGGTATGCGCACAACACACAGCAAAGGAGTGCCCTTTTCAACCTTAAAATTTGACAATCATTACTGCATTTTTTTTTCTTTTAAAGAGTTATGATGGACCTTTGGCGTTTGCTGGCAAATGAAAAAAGAAAGTGTTGCATTTCTTCAGAAATATGGCATGTTGCCCATCAGTTAAAGATAGCCAAGTTTTGCATTACATTGAAGTTCTATTTTGGAATGGTTGAAATTCGTAGCTGATGCCGAATTTGTGCAATTCTGATTAATTTTTTTAAGTTAAAATTGTATACGTCAGGAAAATTATGCAAAAAGAAAGGTCCATGTTTTCTTATGGATGTTTCTTATGTTTTAATTTTGTTAACTGGTAGATGTTTCATGCAATTTGTAATGCTGTGTCATTTTTGAAAATCGTTGTCTTTCATATCTTAGCTTGACCAGAAATTAGTCGCCAACAGTTGGCAACTCTTTTTCAGGATTAGATAAGCAAATAAATATAAAGTACCAAAATAAAGTTTTTGGAAAAAATTTGGCATTCTTGCTTGAACACTTAAAACACGTAATTCTAAAACAAGACAAATAAAAGAAAAAACATCAGCAGTGTAAATATGCTTCAAAGACATGTGTTCAAAGTGTGCCTCAAATATTCCGCTAAATGGACCTGTGCTGATGAGAAAAAAAAAAGCATAGCAATCAAATTTGAAGGGCAATAGTTTGTCTGTAGAATAGCTGCGTAAATTTTAAGTTATGTCACAGAATTGTATGTCATGTCATAATTTGAGAATCCAAAGATCTAGTAGAGCTGTACCTTTTGAAATTTATTTCAAAAGTTTGTCTGAAGAAGTAACGGTATCTGCTGAAAGACATTTACAACATTGATGCAATCAGTTTCTTCCTTCATCTCATGCCTGAAAGAAACCTAGCATTTAAAAAGGTGTTCAGTATAATGGAGTAAAGATCTCACTATTTTATTTTGCACGAAACTGATGGAATGAAAAAGATGGTATATTTAATCATAGGAAAATCACAAAAATTATCAGGTTCCAAAAATTTTAAAACTTCATCATTGTGGTATGAAGCAAATAAAAAAAGCATTGCTTGTCACTGATATCGTTTACTGATTGGCTCAAAAAAATTGACGGAGCCACCAGCGGCCGAGCAGTAAAGTCGCTGAACACTGGTAGTTCGGTCCCGAGGTTGAATTCTGAACGGCTGCTGCATGACGTTTCCGTGTTTTCTCCATGTGTATGTTAAATAGCCAGTTTCCCTTAGAAAGTCCTTCATGAAGGCATCCCTTCCCTTAGGCAGATAGCCCTCGAGGCTTTGCATAATCACACACACAATAAAATTGACAAAGCAATAAGAGGGCAAAACTTTTTTATGATAAATGTTCTGCAATTAGAATTCTTTAAATATTAAAATGGAAGATTTCAAATATTATCTATGTTTTGTAAAATGTGTTAATATAAATGTGGGTTTAAGTTTTTTTGATTATAGAAAGTACTTGAGGGATATCTGCTCGAAAGTTAGGGATACTTTTGTGGAGGACTTTTAAGGGAAAGTAGCTTGGATCCACTGGATAGTATGTTAAGTGAATAAAACTAGGATGATAAAATTAAATTTTTGGATAACAGTATTCTTAAAATTCTATGGTTGAAACATACATCTGATCCTAAAATAAAATAAAATTTAAATATCTTTTTTTAATAGTCTTTTGGAAGATGCATTAACAATGTTTTACTGTTGCCAGTTTTTATGTACGGATCTCAAAATTCATGCTTTTTTATATATAGATTGTAAGTCTGGTAGTTTTCTGAAAATTCAAAATCTAATCATTAATTAAAGAACTTTTAAAGTTTAATTCCGTTTGTTTATTACTCTAAATTACAGTATAAATATCAATGTCCAATAATGATTCAGAAATTACATTATGGCATTAGTATACAAGGCAGTTTTTTAAATAGTAATTATGGTTCAAAATATTATTTGTGACTTTACCATGCAAGGATTACTTAAAAATAATACTGCTTAATTAGTGCATTAAATTAATTAACGAAATGAAGCCTCTGAAATGTTAACAAAATTTTATTTATGCTGCTTTTATCACTAGTATGTTGAACTTAATCATTTGTATCTTTAATGTTTTGTTTTGCATCGGGAAAACTGTGTATTTTTAATTTTTCCCAATTGTTTTCCATTTAGGTTATGAGCTGTCTAAGATAGAGCATGTTATTGGTTCTCCAGAAAAACCATTATCTGACTTAGGAAAACTGAGTTATAGGAGTTACTGGTCATGGATCATTTTAGATTTATTGAAGAAACATAAAGGTTATTTATCCATTAAGGAAATAAGGTACTTGAAATCTTAACATATTTAGCTTTCCTAATGTATCCTTCTTAGTGCATCTGAAAATTATATTATTGTTTATGTATTAAAACAACATACTAGTGATGTTAAAGGTCTTTTTTTAGTGATCAAGTTAATATATATATAACAGCACAAAAATGAAATATGACATCACAAGGATAAAATATCTGCTCTGCTTATAGTTTAAAATTATTTACAAGATACTGCCATAAATTCATATATGCTCAAAAGTAGATATTTAACGTATCCATTACCATTATGCTGCTTATTTTTCATACTGTTATATTGTAATATAATGTAAAAAAGTTAGTCTTTTAATAAATCGATAGTTTAAGATTTGGTAAAGAAATCAGTATTAAACTACAGGAATTAATGTAATTAAATTTGTAATACTGTAGTTTCAAAGGTTAAACAAGAGCCTTCTTCAGCTTCAAGAGGGGAAATGAAAAAAAAATGTGTGTTTGTGAGCAAAATATAAATTCAGTGATGTTCTAACTAAATGATAAAAAAAAAATCCTGGCAGAATGTATTGATTTAAAAATGAACACAAAAAAAAAAAAAAAAAAAAAAAAACCTAAGGAACAAACTTTAAAAGTTAAATGTTAGAGAGATATTATAACTAGGATAATTTATCAGACCCGAGATAATTTTATGGATGTAAAAATTTGATTCTCTAGCTCAGGATATATTTTAGAATAAATAACCTTCATTGCATACATGGTAAATATGATTTTAGATAAATAATGTGAAAAACTATGAATTAGTTACAAATTAGACAATTTCAGGTTCTACATTTTAAAATTTGAACAACATGTAACATATTCCTTGACTTACGACAGGCAACAGCAGATGTTATATGCTGATGAGCTACTGAATGAAAGATCTTACCTTGTAACATGTAGTCCAGTCAAAAGTCTTTAATCCGGACTCGTCGG